ATATTTAGCGCGACAATTGCAATGGCCTCTGAGAAGACTGGGATTTTTCCCTCGTTTTCGTTTATAACCAATCTGTTATTTAAACCAGTTTTCTGAAGAAAAACTAGAAATAGAAGAAGATTATAAAGGTGTTGTAAGTCAGCGCTTGTGTTTTTCCTCTTTGTGTTTGTCTCGTTTTGTCCTCGTCTAGTGCGCTGTAACCTCAAGAAGATCATTAACATTTTTTATGTAATTATTCGACTCGCCGTGGCAATAGACCATATGCAAAAAGAAGCGCCATCTAGTGTATTCATGATCAATTATCAGATTTCCTTCATATTGGGGGGGTTCCCGTACCAATGGTTTCGCCCGTTTCACAATAGTGCCGGCAAAATGGAAGTCGTAGAACTAAAATATGATCACCTGATGCTGGTTCAGTACGAACCCTTCACAGACGTCTTAGAGAAATACCGTTCATTGACCTGGATGGCCCAGTTCACTGCTTGAGTGAAGACTGTTACGACTTCGTTGCTGACAATTCCTTTTCCAGAATTTTGCGGCCGTCTTTCTTTTCTTCTTTGAACCGAAACTAACCAGCAACCAGTCGAGTGTACAGATAAACTGCCCTAATATTATGGAAACCAAGATAAATGTAGATACGCCTCGTCCGCAACTGGAAGATGTGATAAACCCCCAATATGGTGGCTCCTAATGACATGATGATGATAGCTGGTAAGGATTTTGCATATGGCCTATTAGCCCCCTATGTTATGTTCCCCTGGCCATATAACACCTTTGCACAGACTGCATTAATGCAGTTTTCAGTTATTTATTTGTTTTGCAAACAATATGGGAAGTTTAAATAATACACCTCGTATTTTATGATCTGTTGCAGGTTTAGATTAGTTGGACAAGTTCCTCCCACAAAGCCCTCCACCCTTTCCACTTTAGCAGAGGGAATGCTGGAGAGGAGGCAAGTGGAGAGGAGGAAACCACCAATCCTGGCGAGCAGAGAGCTTTGTGGGAGGGCCTTGTCCCGCTAGTCTAAACCTACAACAGACTATCGCTTACGCCTTTCGACTGCAACTCGGGCAATTCGGCAACAGCATTATCTCAGCTTACTGCAACTGCTTTTCTGGCACAGGTTGTACACTTTTTTTTGTTATGTTGACAAATATTTTTTTACTAAGCACCACTGGAAAAATTAACCTGACCGGTGTTGCACCTGCAACTGGGCAGCAGAACGCTTAAAACTGAAGGACTACAAGCGTCTACGAATGGCTAAAGAAGGCAGCCGTCCTTATCTAGGCTTCAGTGACAGAAGTGGTACGCCAGTTGCGGCAAATTGTGTCATGCACGAAAGTCTGCCACGTCTTGCGCCAAAATGTTATTTTCACTAAGCATTGCGCCACACCTGCGCCGAGATGGGCTTAAAGCAAAATAATTAATGTTTTATTATTGGTTAACCCTAAATTTAGCAGAAGTTGAAGGAAAAAAAAAAGATTGTGCAAATATGTATTCCACAGCATTTCTACTCGCCGTATAATTTGTTTCATCTCGAGGCGCAGTCAGAGGCTCAGACACCTACACCAAAATCGGAAGTTACGGGACATTCGCTGCACTTGATTGGTTTAGCCAATGAAAGAACACGTACAGATGACGATTGCCACGATATTGCACTTTGATGCTGCAAATCAACCGGCCAGAGCCGTTGATGCTGGGCATCAATGGCTCTGGCTGGTTGATGCGCTGGCTGGTTAATTGCCGACATCATCTAAATGTCGAGACGATGTTGTCGATGTCAGGAAGTAAGAGTCCTGAGAAAGCTCAGCAAAATAGTAGGATTGGCGATTGCGGCTACTGTGATAAAAACAGAACGAGGGTCTTGTACTCCTGATAAGCTCACTCGATTATCACGTCCGCCACACGCCTCGAGTTCTGTGGCTGCGGAGTAGCGTGGCACTTGCGCCGCTCGTGTCACCCTTCACCTTCTCTCACCAGCGTGCGTGCATCAAGCTTCACCCCTTTGCACTGGAGTGCTAGGAGTAGCGGCTGACGGGGGAGCGCCTGGCTTAGTGCAAGAGGCACTTAAATTATGTTCAGGATTATTACAGGTCAACCTTCTTTGTCCTAATTGTAAGATAATCTCTAATCTAAAAAAAAAAAAAAGAAATTAAAAGCAGAGAAAGAAAGAGACAAGAAATATGTGTAAAAAGTGTCCCAGATAACTTGCACCACACTTTACAAAAAAAAGAAGCGCTCTGCGAGAGTGAAACCAACTGTATTGTTAAAAACCATTGTGGGAAAGTGCACAACTGTTTTTAGTCTGCCTTGTTAATTATTTAATGAAGACTAATTAGCTCATTTTTTAATTTTTCGCTTAAGAGCCGAGGTGCGAATTGGAAAGTCGTAGATGCATTGAGAAACACCCAATTAAGGTGTTTTCTACACAATGCACTTTGTGCGCTTCTTTTTTTAGCCTAAAAAGAAAGCCTGCAAGTGTGAAAAAAGACCACATGACAACGTGCCTGCGCGTTGCGCTTGCAGTGCTCTCAAATGTGCTCTGAAGGAACGAAGCCCACCTAATCACTGTCGCGCTGTTCGAGACTGGGCTTTGTATTGGAGGTAGTCTCCGAATATAAGAGCAAGCATCTGCTGCCGCAGAGCCCTGTCAGCCCTGTCTCAGACAGCGCACCAGTGATAAGGTGGACTTTGTTCCCTCAGAGCACCTCTGAGAGCGCTGCGGGGCGCTTTGCCACATGGTCTTTTTTTATATTTCGTGGGTTTTCTTTTTAGGCTAATAAAAAGAAGCGCACAAAGTGTATAGTGTAAGAAACGCCTCAGTTGGGTGTTTCTCAATGCACTCTACAGCTTTAAAATTCACACTTATTTCAGCTCTTAAACAAGTAATTCAAAAATTAGCTAATTAGTATGAATTAACTAATTACCTAGGTGTACTAAAAGAAATTGTGCACTTCCCCAAAATGCTTTCAACAACGTACAGTTTGTTTCACTCTCGCAGAGCGCTCCGTTTTTTATGTAATGTTTGGTGCGAGCTATCTGGGACACCTTGTATATTTCACTGAATGCGGTATTTGCAGTAATTCCTGTGCAGTTCTCGATAGAAACAGCAGCAAACTTTGACGTAACTTTGGTTCCTACGCCGCCAAAGAGCAGTGTTGCCTTTAAAGGGGTGGTGCAATGATTTTAACACTGAAAGAATGTGCAGCTTGTATTTTTTGTATTGTTTACTTCGGCATAAGTAAGAGAAAAAGTGCCACCATACCCCAAAATACCTCTATTTCGCTGCGTAATCGCAAAATAAAAAACACTTTTTTTCCCAACCTGCGGCCACATGGTGGCCGCAAATGGAACCTGTGGTGTGACGTCATTCGGAGTGGTTTTTGTAAGTGATAGTGTTAGGCAATTGTAAGCTTGGTTTAAGGTTAAGTTTAAAAAATCTTGTTGTTTAGGCATGCAGAAACCCTTCAAAAGCCTAATATTGCCGCTAAAAGATTCGTGGCGCCATCTACCGCAAGTCAACCAAACCTGCCGTCGCCGACATTCGTTGACGTCCGAGGCGCCTACGGCGGCTACGGCGGCTACACGAGCAACCCGGACGTTTTGTCTTTCCCTCGCTCGACGGAGTGCGTTGGTCGCGGTCCGTAGCATCGTGGTATTGTTATTGTTCCTGGTGTCTCGACTTCGACTGCCCGCCCATAAGTCCAACTGACTTACTATACGCAAGCATCTTGTGCTCGACGTCGCTCAGGCCGTCCGCCCATGCCGCCATGTTGGTCGGGAATCAACTGGAGAGCGGCGAGCCTGGCGAGCCGGCGAGCGCTGGGGAAACGGAAGCCAGAAGCACCCAACCGGAAACCAACGCCACTCCGAATGACTTCACAGGCGAAGCTGGTGCCGCTTCAATGTTGAGTTGAGGGGTGCCAGAGATACCAATTTCTTTTATTTTTTTTTTTTAATGAAAACTGGGGCAAGCAGGAAAGAATAGTTTTCGGTCCTTCGTTTTATATGTGGCCGGGATCAATTCCCGCAATTAATTAGCCAAAGTCCGCAAATTGTTGCACCGTCCCTTTAAAGCACAAGTCTAGGCTTTTATAATATATTTGGTTTCTTCGCAGGGACACATCCGTGTGCAACAAAAACCGCGGCCCTCTCCACGAAGCTTACACGGACATTCGTGATAAATAGCGTCGAGTTTAGGTTGAACCCTGCATTTGCTGTGTAACTACTGATGATGCCTCCCGCATGGGAGGCAAAACGTCTAATGAAGTTGTTTTTTCTGTTATGTCAAGTCGGCGTTCTTATTTTAATTATGACGTCTCCCGGCTTTTGGAGTATTTTTGCATAATATTTTTGGGTGGTTGTTTTTGCAGAGAGTGTCAAGTTCGGCATGTTCATTAAACTTACAGGATGCATTATTATTGGTTGACGTGTTAGCGGATATGCTGGTTCTTGCTGGCATTTTAAAGAAATTATATTTACAGGCTAAACAAACTACTGAGTCAAAGATGGGGAGGGAGAAGAGGATTTATTTCATGAAGTGTTTCACTATGATTTAATTTTCAACCATTTTTTTAATATCCATTGTAGATGAAATCTGCTCTGACTAAAGCCTTATTAAAGAATTGTGTTCCTTTTACACCTTACGTATTATCACAAACAGTAAAGTAATATGCTCGAGTATCAAGGAGAAACCCTTGATCACTATCATAAATGAATTCATTTAGAGATGCAATCACTTTTTCATTCCCAAGTGATGTGCTAACAGATGTTGGCGTCTGCCCCCAAAAGCGTCAATGGCTCCTCCAAACCAATATTTTGCCTGCTGCAGAACCTGCTACAAAACGTCCAGGTGCCGCTTCCATTACTGGTGCTTAGAACATGTACAGATGTGAAAAGTGGGATGAGTAAAAGCACAGGACATTTCGTACATGTACTTTTCGCTCGCTCGTTCCACATGCGTTTACCATTGTAGCATTTTGCTTGTTCTCTGAATCCAGGTGGATGACTTGAAGAAGCAAGTCGCAGACCTGATGGCCACCAATGAGTTTCTGCTGGACCAGAACGCGGCACTGCGGCTGAGCAAGCAGACGGCGGCCAGCCAGTCCTTGGGAGTGATTCCGACGGCGGCCACCCTCCAGCCGGTGGCGCCACTGGCCAGCACCGCTGAGCTGGCCTCTTCCCCGCAGAGCCTGACTCCAATGGTTCCCGTGGTGCCCGTCTCAATCTCCTCCAGTCTGCCGGCATCCCTGTCGCAGAGTCTTGCCCAAACCATCATCACCATGAGCAGCCCTTCGGCACCGCTCGTCTCCTACCCTGTCATGACCCAGTCGCTACGTCCTGTGATTGCCCACCGCATGGGGCACTAGGGCTCTCCTTGGCCATGCCCACCCTTCTTGGAATGGAACTGTCCTGGATGTCATCCACTGTGACTTTGGGTCGTTGGGCCTTGGACACCGTGTTTCCCGGTGGGGTGGCGGGGCATTGAAGCCGTTGATTCTATTTGTCTCCCGACATTTCGCAGACATCTCAGCGATGGTGGGGCGTCTGCGACTTTTGTGGGACGGCTGAGATGCCCATCTTTTTCCCTGCTTCAGTAAGAACTGTCCTGGATGTCATCCGGCGTGACTTTGAGTGACTTCAGTTCATCTGGCCACGAACATTGTGTTTCCTAATGGGGTGGCAAGCCGTCGTTGCCATTCGTCTGCCGACGTCTCACTGATGTCCAGGTCGTCTGCAACATTTGTGGTATGGCTGAGATGTTCACCCTCCACCTTCGTCGGAAAGGAACTGTCCTTGATGTCATCCAGTGTGGCTTTGAGTGACTTCAGTTCATCTGGCCACAAACATTGTGTTTCTCAGTGGGGTGGTGAGCCATCGAAGCACTGTTGCCATTTGTCTGCCGACATCTTGCCAACATAGAGGACCTCCGCGACAATCGTGGGACAGCTGGGATGTCCACCCTCATCTCTGCTTGGAAAGGAACTGCCCTCAGTGTCATCGGTGTGGCTTCAAATGACTTCAGCTCACATATGGTCAAAAACATTTTTCCTGGTGGGGGAGTGGGCAGTCAGAACCAGTGTTGCCAATCGTTTGTCACCATCTCACTGGCATCAGTGATATGTGCAACGTTTGTGGGTGGCTGGGGTGCTTGTACGAAGTTTGTACAACATGTGCGGAATGTCAGCAATGTGTCAATGGTAGTGTGCAGTTTGTCTGGCTGACAGTTTGCTGTGGTGGCGGATTTACATGCTCCAGGCTTTTGAACTTTTGACCACCTTCTTGAATTGCAACCTTCACCAATGCGTGTTCATGTGGTGGCAACATTTAATTTCATTGAATGTACGAAAAATAAAATAAGTGCTCTTTCTTTTTTGTGTGTGTGCTAGCAAGTTCATTATTCTTTTGGGCTGATCATCATCACGGTTGTAGCAACTGTGTGCAGTTTTCTTTCTTTTTTTTTTTTCAAGTTATCTAGGGGTTTAAGATAAGTTGGGGCTTTGTGTTTTCTAGCAAAGAGCTCTGATGCCTTTGTGCCCTGTTCTAGGTGCCTAAAGTGTATTTGCATACATCTTTGTCCTGTCATGACCCCCGTCGGACTAGTGTCCTTTGGACATGAGACAGTGCATATTGCTTGAAGCCGTGCATTGTGCTCTTAGTGCTGGTGTGAATCAAGAAAGTGCAATGTCAATATGTTGCATGTAAACGGTGCAAACCTTTTTTTTTTTTTTATTATTCGATAAATTTTGGAAAGTTTGGATATGTCGTGTACAATTTATTCTTATTCCCTCGAACTGTTTGCTATTCTGCTCTTAAAGGGGCCCTGCAACGACTTTTTGTTGTTTAATTTGCACCGAACCTGAGTGCACTGAGCGTAGTAGCTTAGTGAACTGTTTCTTCTCTCAAAATTCGCTTTAAGTTATAGGCATATTAAAATTATAAAAACAAACAAAAAATAACCTCCTTTATGATGTCCTTGGTTTTCTGTCCCCCTTTTTCCCGCACCCGCGTACCGCGGTGACTGAAGAATGTGGGGAGGCAGGGGAAAACTGGGACAGGACGTAAGGCTGAGGGAGAGTAAGCTGCCCGGGAACGGGGCAGCACTCTCTCCTTGGCCGAGCAGGACTAACAACATCACGATTTCGTCACATGCCGCGCTCGTTCGACACCACAGGGCGCCCCTGTGGGAGGAGGAGGTTTCCGAGTCGTCCGGTTAAAATATGATGCACTGATATTTAGTTACTCTCTCCGTGCTCGCTGGGTTGCCCGAACCACAAGAGACACGGAAACCGCAAAAAAAGGTTGACGCTTACGCCCCTTTAAGCAGTAAAATTGCTTAAAAAAGGACAACAGCTGTTTGTAGAACTTTATATCTAAATCTCTGTGAACGAGAAATAATGGACCGACTTCACCAGACCTCCCAGGCCTCTTTGCTAACTGTACTTCGTTTCATACCTTGTATACGGCACCATCAAAGCTACTGGCGTGAGCGCATAGCTTCACCTATGGTTTCGTTAGCTCGAGAACATGTGCAAATGATCCGCAAGTTCAAACCCCAAGCTTGTGCCAGTGGCTTTGACCGCACTGTACACTAAGTATGAAACAGAGCATAGGGTCTGTCTTTGCCCTGGTTATTTTAGTGGTAACAAACCCAGTGAGGCAGCGGCGCCTTCCAGCGCACCGGCGAGGCCAGCGGGTCGGTTTAGAGTTTTGGTTTTAGAGCGAAAACAGAACGAACAGAAAGAAATATATAAAATAAATTGCATTTTATTTTCATGGTGCGGTGAAGACGTTTTGTTGAAATTACTGTTAGCGGACAAAGTTTTATATTTGTATTTTTGTATTAATGAGAGCCCCCCACCACCTAAGCGCTGCTGCCGGTGGCGACGCTATGCACAGCGCCGCTGATGGTGGCGACGCTAATAGGGAGTTTTAGTAGACCGTGTTTCCCGCTCCGCTAGCCCTCCGCCAGTGCCAGGACACTCCCATAGACCCAATGGAGTCGATTTCTGGGAAAACTGGGCGCTCAGCAGCGCTTCCGTGGTCGGAGGCGCTCATTACTGCAACGAATCGAAGCCTCATTGCTCTATTAATAGATTGCAAAACTAAAATAAGCGACGATAATTATGTTCATAAATTGAAGCGCTAATGTTTTATTAATTACTTTTGACGCCGTCGAGCTAGCTGGAGCGGCTTCCTAGCCGTTTGCAAAGACGAAGCCGCTCAAAATCCAACATGGCGCAGCCCTTCTGCCGTGCCCTGCCGCTGCTCCCTACCGTGGTACCGCCGGTACCGCGGTACGTTTTGTTTGGAAATTTACGGTCCGCGCGTGCCATACCACGTGTTATGGCAAAGAATTGTAAGTTACGCTTGCCTACCTTGTGTCCAGCAGTTGACAGTCCGTTACTTGTCGTCCGCGTCTTCCAGGGAATCGAAACAAATGCAGCATTTTTCGCACTCGTTGACGCATTTATTCAGTCATTTTCATGACAAGGAAAAACAATTTACACTGTAAGGGCTGTGCGGCTGAAGTTTCGCCGCGCATACGCAGCGCCACTCCTCCCCCTGGCGGGGCGCGCTGATACTTGTTAGAAGTACGAGGAGCAGACGACGCGGGAGGCTGGTGCGCTTGTCGGGCTGGATTCGCGCTTTGTAAAGTAATGTACCGGATGCAAAGGTTACACACATGTCACAGCATCGTATGAAACAGAAAGGTATCCGCGTCCCAAAAAGTTTTGTTTGGTTCCTGGGAGGTGATTCAAGAAAGATCGCCAGAAGCATGAATCGCCAGCTGTGTGGAGAACAGGTTTAATTATTGTTTCTCTATCTTGCCGCGTGATGCAGTAATGCAGCTACGCTTGCTTGTCACATTTAGGGACTTTTCGTAGGTCAAACTCGAGAGGATGCAGGAGTTTTGCGTTGATTGGAGGAGGGGGGGGGGGGGGGGGGGGGGGGGCGGTATAGCTGGCGCTTGTGGGGCCCGGAATCCGACACTGACGTTCTACGATAAGTCCCTAATATAATGACTACGATGGTTCCCCATGGCTGTCTGCAAACGAAACTCGACTATGCAGTTACCATTTTTTTATAAAAGAATTTGAATTTGATAACCATGGCTCACTTTGCTTACCCGCCCATTTTGTTCCCCGGTGTTAATAAGAAAGCGGGTAAGTGGCAATAGAGTTGGGGGAAAATTAGGCAGATAATCGTTGCCCCTATTGCGTACAGACTTGAACGCATAATTGAAAAAAGTTGACGGCTGTATTATAGTTTTTCTATGTATTATTAAAATTATGTAGTTAGCCCACAACAGGTATAATTACTTCCTAAGCGCCTCACAAAATTAACACTAGAACATCCGTGGGTCGACCAATTTGCGCGTGTTGGCAGTGTTAGATATGTTCCTAATGCAATAGCTAGGATAATTCCCCGTGGGTGTCGACAAAATAACCCCGATTATGCAGTTACTATTTTTTAAACAACTTTAAATTTGAGAACCCAGCTCACTGTGCTTACTTACCAATTTTTCCTTTTGATGAATTAGTGGAGACTGGGTCGAGAAAACTAGAAACATCAACCGTGGACAGAAAGAGGAATCTTTCCTACACGCTTGATATTTTTAGATTTTTCGCCACAGTCTCGGGCAATTCATCTAAACTGTTAATATACACACCAGCTGGCCTGCGCTGTCACAGTAATTCCTATAAATTTTGTTCCCTGATGCTTACAAGAGAAGGCGAGTAAGCAGCGAAAGACATGAGGGCAAATGGGAAAGATAATCATAGAACGTATTGCACACTGATTTGAGCGTAAGTTGAAAAGAGATGTACACTGACGGCTGTACTCTCGTTCTTTCTTTATGTTATTAGAATGATGTAGTTAACCTACAACAGGCATAATTACTTTCCAGGGAACCCTAAAACATCAAACCCGGACATTTCTCGGTCAACCAATAAGAGTGTGTTGGCAATGTTAGATGTATAAATTGAAAGCATGCACCATTAAGAGGACGAGGACAGGGCACGTCGCAAAGGCCAGTAACTAAACATTCATGACTGAAATATAAAATTAAATAATCTTTTCTTACAGAGAGAAAGTGAAGGAATATTGAAGATTCTGTCGTGGCACACAGGCTCAAGATATATCAAGTTTAATTGTACCTAAACAGCAAACAAAACAAATAGTGACGCAATTTTTTTTTATTAGTTGTGAACCGGAACAGTGTTCAAAATTATCATTCTGTGGTCACATAAAAATAAGTTTAAAAAAAGGACGCTTTACAACGCAAATGCAAGTCGATTGGAGACTCCTTCCTTAACTAATAAAATTAAAAGTGGGTTATTGACGCACGTACATGAATTACGATTCTACCGCTTTGACGGCAGCGACAGGTGCGCGCAAAAACAGCAAGGTTTTTTTTTTTTTTTTTTTATCCGTTTAAATAAAAACGGCGGCCTTATTGACATACCGTTCTTTTTTTTTTTTTTTTTATTAGAACCTGACCCAGTGTTGCGATCAGGCTGTACGTGCCTTGTCAACAGGCGCGGCATGCTTCCAGCAGCCGGTAACCTGAGTTCAAGGAGTGTATGCGACAGCGCAGCTGTGCACGAAAAGACACTTTAAACAATATTGCATCCTCATTTTTGTCCGAATAACCCTAACTTTGAAGAAGTAGCGAAATCATAAAGAAAAAGAGTATTTATCTCGAGGCGGATGTTACAGTCGACGCTGTCTTGCACTTGCGAGACACACTGCGCAAACGACAAATATTCCTATGCCTGGATTATTTGCTCCACCCCGGAGACCTGACACACAGGCAACCTTTCTTTGCGGAGGTTCGCCTCCCTAAAAATGATCACAGTTTTTTAACGGACAGAAAGCTTCAACGCGGTGCCTGCCATTGCAACTGGCAGCGCGATGGGACGAGCGAACGGCTAAGTAGGGCGAAGTCGGGCCACGGCGCGGCGCCACTGGTATCGCTCCGGCGCGCCCCCTGGCCCAGCCGAACGGTCCCATACGTTGCTATGCGGAAAAAAATTAATAATGAGCGCAGTATCTACGTTAGCAAGAGGTGGTAAGTGAAGATACAATGTGCGACACTGTTAGCGCGAACATGACATAGCTTTTTCACTTTGAAAGGCTATCGGCGCCCACCAACTATTACTGCCTTAGTTCTCGCTAAAGTGGTCGATCGTTGCGGTCACGCCGCTATAAATGTCATATTTTCGGGGACTGATATGTGTCCCCATACAATTCAAACTCGTCACGTTAAATAAAGAAACACGAAGTACGTACTATGGACAGCTAGCTTGGGAGCGAAACGGATAAATACATGTTTTTTTTTTTATCTTTTTATTTTGGCCTCTGTAACGACAAACGCAAAAAAAAAAAAAAATGGTGGGAAATATATTAGTGTGGCAAAAAAGAATGAGGAGTGTAGAAAGTCGGACGAGTTGGTGATTCAT